TCACCGAAATCGAAGGAGATTACCTCGGAAACAGCGTCAGCATGAATCTTCCAGTAAAGCCAATCGACAGGTGGTCAAGAGGAATCCGCCGTCGTATTCTGGTTAAAATGTGTGCCAAACAGTTGTGGTATCTTTCCTTCTGTCCTGGGCTATTCACCTCTCCTATATCCTTGTATCACGCCTTCAATATCACAATTTTTCCTTGCTTATTTAAATGTAGTGTGGTGTGCCCTTTTGAGCGACTTTCATGAAAACCCTCCACATTGTACACTGGTGTTCTCACACCCCTTCACCCTTGAGAATGTTGATCAGAGTCTGCCATATTTTTACGCCGTCCTCCTTCCATAGGTCTTATCAGAGTCTCACTCTTGCACCATAGGATCCGTCTGCTATCTCCCTGCTTCAAGTATTTCACTTGATCCCTGCAGCCCCATCTGTGCTACTCGAGGCTTTATTACCCATCCCCTGCGTCTGGGCGACTAATTCGAGGCTAAAGCCTCTGAATAAGTCTCATAGTCAAGCCTTTGCTACATGGACCACGTCCATGGTAAAACAGGCCTACTGTCAGCTAACTAGCTATAGTCTCCGCCGCATCTATTCTGTTTCTATTCTTAATACCAAATCTATGACTTGCTATGTCATAGTCTCTTGCGTGCCTATCCACAAATGCTGTAGTTCTGCTTGCTTTGATTAGGTTCAATGTTTAACCACAACGTTTTTCTTTTATAGTTCCTCAGGGAATACTAGAGATATTTTTTCTAGGCAGAACTTGTTAGGTTTTATGGACAAGAACGTACATTTGTGCAATAAGTTATGGCAGCACTTACTCCTTTTTATTAAGATCATTTAAATATAGGTGGTCTGCGATAATACAAGACTAACAATGCCTTATTTTTCGTTCAAATAAGTCCTCGGTGCGCTGTCTCTTGACTCCGATGAATATGCACGTAACTTTCCCCTGTCATGTATTGCAGAGCAGGAAAAAATACCTTTCGAAAATTCATGAAACATTTAGTATGGTTTATTGCTTTAACTATGTCTGTCGTACTTAGGACGAAATCTCAGATAGGATTTACCAGATTTGAGGAATGGTTTGCCGAAGATCTATTCGAACAAATCTCTAGTCATTATTTTAAGGCTATCTTTTTAATGAGGGCAATTTCGAATGCCTTTTATTCGCATCTCCAAACGAAATGAAATGTATTCTAGTGCCTCTTTAAAGGATCCTTTGAAATCCGGCTTGTATTGGTATGTGCGCATTCTTGTGTCTACACTTGTGATAATAATATATGGATTTATTCAATCTCATGTAGAAATTTACTTTTAGATAAAACGGATGCTTCCTTAAATGATTTGCCGTCGTTTCGTTCTTCCAGTCAGCGTATCTGTGGTTCAAGTCCTCACCCCTGGCTAAGCGCCATGTCGGGGGTCTTATGGTCAAAAAACAGAGCGCTTGTATTCGGCGGTCTTAATGATGTGGAAGATGCGGCAGGCGAAATGATTCGTGGCTATTTTCACAACGACCTTTATGTGGTAGAGTTGGACAAGGCTAAGTGGCACACATTCAGGTATGAATCCTTGCCTCTCGCTCGCCTCTCGGTCCCTACGTCTGATCGCCAAGTGCAGCTGCTAAATGAAAGGCCAAACCAAACCGGAGGTCCTGTCTTGCCGGATGTAAATAATTCAGACGCAGGTACTTTTAAATTAGCCTCTTAATTTTACTGTTCACTTGTAGCTACATGAGCAGGATAAAAAATGTCGAGGTTTTGAAAAATTCTATTTCAACAGTTCTGAGTTGGATGAACATATCGTCCGACTTAGGATTGACGAACTTTAAGATGAAATGGGACCTGAAGAGTAAATCTTGTTTACAAAACAACTTCCTAGTTAGATTAATCCCATTATCATTT